GAGCCCTCTTAAGATCGGGCATGTACATATTTATATTGCATCAGAATTTAAATAATGCTACAGGTCGAAGCATCTCGTCTCTCTGTGGCCGAATACTGCGACATCTCGTCAGCAGTTTTAGCAACGACGCATCGCCTCCCTCCTTTCCAATTGGCCTCAGGAATCACCATATCAACCACATGTTTGGTGCCTACGAGGAGGTGCTTTCCATCAGGATCCACTATCTGCGCCAGGCGGTTAGGAGCCAACAATATCCTCCTCCTTCCCTCCCCACCTTCGTCTCTGTCGTCACAAACCACGACGTCTTAACATAAATGTTTGTCTTCCATGGGGCTCAGTGTTGTGTAATTGTACGATCTGGACGTGCCGCCATACACTAAATGCTAGCATGTGTTATGGAGTGAGCATCGTCAATAAGGCCTAAGTTATAAAATAGAAAGCGCGATAAATGCACCGAAACACGTGCCATTTTTTCTGTAATATTTGAATGTGTTGCCAAATTTGGTTTTATTGCTTCCCATATTTCCCACACCGTAAACAGGTCTGTCAAGTTATCTCAGCTAATGTATCCAGTCTCCCTATTCCCACATCGCCTAACTCGAGCAGCCACCGAGATGGGTTTAGAGCAGAGAGGGTGATGTCTTTCAAAGCCGGCTACGTCTCTTAATGTTTTCACTTTAAACGGAAAAATGAGCTCTGCATTGATTATTAGTACTGGCAAACAGTTGTTTCTTGACGTTGTGCAAACTGGCGGCATAATACGCCCCCTACTCAGGACCTAGGCTCAGACTGCATGCCTCAGCCTTGATGTGTCCGTCGGATTACTCTCGACGGAGCGAGATCTCCCTCACACCCAGTGGAGTCTGGTAGGTGGTGTGCAGTTAGGGAATTGGTAGTGTGTGGAAGGCGTATATATGATCTGCAGGGATGTGATCAGCCTGATCAGTGAAGAGATGAGGTTGATAAGAATAGTAACCGCATAATTAGTTGCGATCAACACGCTTACTGATGTGATGCCAGCATTTCGGTATAAATGGCCGTCACTATTGTGATACAATGATCTAGTCTGTGAACTGGGTACTCCAGGTGGAATCATGTGATCGCCACGAGGGACGACCTGCACCGGCTGCAGGCAGACTGGACGCAGCACTGGTGACTTTCGCGGGAATCAGTTTATTGTGAGGCAGACCTACGCATCATCTCCCTCCCTCCCACACCCACCGGGCTCCGATGGAAAGACAATGTCCAGATGACTGGAGGTGGGATCGGGCACAGAGGTGGACAAAGCTGCAAACTGTCCGTCTATGCATTCCCTCACGAGACCTGGTCAAGCATCGAGTGGTGATGGTGGTGGATTAGAAGGATGAGGAGGAGGAGGAGGAGGAGGAGGAGGAGTGGGATGAGAATGATGAGTTTTGGTAAAAATTTTCAGGTAGGTAGGAGTGTCCTCATTGATGTTGTCAGTGTTGGTGGCGGCGGCGGCGGCGCAACATACCGAATAAGATAGCCTTCGCCGTATCTTTATGTGTGTGTGAGGTATTCATTAAAGACGATGTGAGCGTAACATCACAGTGCAGACAACGTCAACTTCGAGGACTGTGGGCAGAACCTTGCACGAACTGGATGCCGATATCGTCGGTGATGTATAGGGAACATTTGTGTGGACACACATGGAGTATGTGGTACAGGCTTGGCGTCCGTTACTTCGGGAGGGCATAGCTCATCTTGAAGGTGATGTGCAAGGACGTGCTATATAGATTGTCCCTGAACTCAAATATTTGACATACGAATAGCGCCTGACAGCCTTAAACCTTTATCGTCTCCACTATCGACAAGACGTCGGTGAGCTTTTACTCACGTTCCAATTGCTACGGCGAATTGATCTTGATGTCCGGAGCGATTCACTCAGATGGTGCGTCAGCTGCACGACGGTATGATGGCGCGAGTCACGGACAACGGAGCTGTCTCAGAGGCATTCGCAGTGACCAACGGAGTGAAGCAGGGATGCATGCTGGCGCCTACCCTCTTCCGTCTTATGTTCTCTGCCATGCAAATGGACGCCTACCGTGATGAACGCCCAGGGATCCGCATCGCCTACAGGGCGGACGGTCACCTGCTGAACCAACGGCGGATGCACTTCCATTCGCGCGTATCCACAACCACCCTTCACGAACTCCTCTTCGCCGACGACTGCGCCCTGAATACCACCTCGGAAGAGGAGATGCAACGGAGCATGGACCTATTATCCGCCGCCTGCGAGAACTTTGGGCTGGTTATCAACACGCAGAAGACAGTGGTGATGCATCAACCGCCACCCTAATCAGCCACAGCCCCAACGCGACGCCGCAAATCAGAGTGAACGGAACCCAACTGCAAGTGGTGGAGAACTTCGCGTACCTCTGCAGTACTATCTCCCGCAACACCAAGATCGATGACGAAGTCGCCAACCGAATCTCGAAAGCCAGTCAAGCCTTCGGTCGCCTCCAAAGCACAGTTTGGAATCGCTACGGTCTCCAACTGAGCACAAAGCTGAAGATGTACAAGGCCGTCATCCCGCCGACGTTACTGTACGGAGCAGAGACATGGACGGTGTACACGAGGCAGGCACGTCGACTGAAACACTTCCACCTCAGTTGTCTCCGTCGCATCCTGAGGCTGAATTGGCGGGACCGCATCCCTGACACCGATGTGCTGGAACGGACGGGAATCCTTAGCATCTACGCCATCCTGAGACAAATGCAGCTACGCTGGAGCGGCCACCTGGTGCGCATGGACGACGAGCGACTACCCAAACGACTCTTCTACGGAGACGTCGCGACGGGTTCTCGTCGTCAAGGAGGCCATATTCGCCGTTACAAGGATACCCTGAAGTCCTCCCTGAAGCGACTGCAAATCAACACGGCCAAATGGGAGGAGTTTGCACTCGATCGACCAACATGGAGGAGGACAGGGAAGACCGGCGCTGCGATCTACGAAGCCAACCGCATCGCTGCCGCCAAAGCGAAACGCGGAGACCGAAATCACAACTTCGCTCAGTACGAAACGGCGACGCACAACCACTTCCAACGTGTTCCCGCTGTCAACGGACACTCCGGGCTCGAATCGGACTTGTCGGACATCTTCGGATCAACTGCGCTTCTCGAATTGCACCAATCATCTTCCCCCTGCCCGCCTCTTCCTCATCCTCTCCGCCACCAACTAACTCTGACAATTCTTCTGAAACACCACTTCCATCCTCCTCCTCCTCCTCCTACTCTTCCTCCTCCTCCTCCTCCTGCTCCTCCTCCTCCTGCTCATCCACTGCTCCCACGACGACCGTTCGGGCGACTGTCACGCGCGCAACACCCGACACCACCACCACCTCCCCCGACTCCAGCGGTGAGGATCAGGACTACACCTGCTCTCACTGCGACCGCACATTCACCTCACACATCGGCCTGGTCGGTCACATGCGAATCCATCGCACAGAGACTGGCGAACCAGTGCCTGGAGCACCAACTTACACCCATCGCACTCACCTCCACTGCCCACGCTGCCCTCGCACCTTCAGGCACCGCATGGGCCTATTCGGCCACATGCGTACCCACGAGAGCGGCACTGACCGCACTCCCGACACACCCACCACATCCACCGTGCACAACCCCACCCTCGCTCCATCCGTTTTCGCCACCACCACCAACACCACCACCACCACCACCGCCACCACCACCACCACCACCACCACCACCGCCTCCTCTGTAGCTGACGCTGACACCGCCGACTTCTCATGCCCACACTGTCCACGCACATTCACCTCACGCATCTGCCTGGTCGGTCACTTGCGAATCCATCGCACAGAGACTGGCGAACCAGTGCCTGGAGCACCAACCTATACCTCCCAACCTCGTGTCAACTGCTCACACTGCCCTCGCACCTTCGGACAACGCATGGGCCTATTCGGTCACATGCGCATCCACGACGACCTGCGGTAGACCACCGCCGGTTACACCATACATTCACACACTCCATACCCTCCTCCACCATCATCCCACCAGACATCAACACTCACACACCTCATGCACTCAACTGCCAACTCCCACGCAAGTGAGAAGTGTGCATCTCGACTCGGTCCCCATGCGGCTTCGGCTGCACGGGTGACTCAAGCCCGAGACTATCCCGACACGTCAAGCGTCGTGGATAGGAAGGTTGATAATTGCCGCCCGCTCTCGGTCCACGCAGTTCGTCGCGTTGTGTGTGTGTGTGTTGTGTGTAGTGGCGGACTGGTGGGCTGGGGATGGGCTGAAACAGCACCTTCCACGGCCCTCTCACGCAAGTGAGACAAGCCGCTCAACCCTCGTTGTGTGAAATCCTGATGTTTGTGAGTATGGGGGGCCAGGTCTTGCTGTGACGCGCGCAGTCATGGTCCGTCGACCGTGTCAGCCACCGCGCCCATTTCCCACTCCAGTCTGCTGACCGGCTCGGACAGCGGCTGGGGTGTGGGAGTGGGAAGGGAGAGTGAGGTCGACGACTCAGCGCACTTTCTCCTCACTATAAACAATCTGACGCGCTTGAAGCTATCACGGTGCGCTAAAAGCCGTGGCTTGGAAGGTTGCCAACTGACGGGGTACCTTGGACCTCCTCTTTCACGGGAGGCGGTCAGAGAGTCAGGCTGCAATGGCCCCTCTCTAATGTGGCCTTTATGGCACTCTCACCACAGTGTGGGATCCGAGCCAGGCGTTGGCGGCACGCCCAGGTGCGGCTTCGGCCGTGCCAGCCTCCAAATCTCTGCTGTGTTGGTTGAAATCCTGGTTATTGTTGTGTGGACCAGGGGGTGCGGAGTGGAGCGCCAAGGCGAGGATCCGTCCAAGCCATCCACCTGCGGCCTCCCTCGTCTCCGGTCTTCTTGACTCTGTCTTGACACCGGGCTCAGGCGGGGGAGGAGGAGAGAGTGTAGGTAGATGCTACGCAAGTCTACTGGCACTATAAACCCCTGCGCAAGTCACCGTCCCTGCTCCCACAATGCAGTCTTTTGGGCACACGGTGGACCTCATCGAAATCGATGGTCGAACTGTCGTGTGTGTGTGTGTGTGTGTGTGTGTGTGTGTGTGCGTGTGTGTGTGTGTGTGGGGTGTAGGGGTGTCAGCGGTGGGTTCAGGTGATGGTCGTGGTGGTCGCTCACTTGCTAGCAGGTGAGACTACGCCTAGCGTCCTGTGGCTCCACGTAGCTGGGCTCTGCTCAGCGGCCACACCCCGGGCAGCCGCCTCGACCGGCGGGCTAAACCAGGTGAGGGTATCCTTGCGTGCACCTGCACGTGCGGTAATGTGGTTTGCGCTGGCCGGATGGATCTTCGCGTCGACATCGTCGAGACGATGCTCTGCCTGGACCATGGCAGGAGGCCACCAGGAAAGTTTTTCTTCAGGTAAGTGAATTTGCTTTGTTTCTTCCTTGTGTCTGTTGAAGTTCCGTGCCGCGTGCTGCTCTTGCTGCCTGCCCACTATATGTTAGTCTGTTTGTTAATAGCTAGATGAAACTCACGATGCCTGCTGCGACTGTCTGTGTGTCAACCTGTGCCTCTCTCCGCTAATAGCTAAGTGTTATGGTGCTTGCACTTGAATGCTGCCTGTCACGGACGTGGATGGACAATTTGAGAGCGACCGGTCAGGAAACTTTGGATCCACCTCAGGAGATTACCCCTAATGCCTGTTCGGCTTAATTTGTTTCAGGAGACGCTGATGCGGTACACTCTCGAATGCTTTCTTAGAGTTGACGTATACTGCGTGCACTGCATTGCCGACATCGACTGTCCGGGTCCAGCAATCTAAACAATAAAGTAGGTTCGTCACGCATGGTCTGCCTCTACGAAATCCGTGCTGGACATCGCATAGCAGATTATGAGAGGAGAGAGAGGAAATGCGCTTTATTTTGAAATCGTAAGTTCAAAATTTTCAGCAAAAAAATTGGCTCCATTCACTGTGGGTAGTAACTAAGTTAAGAGATTATTCAACAGTCAAAGAAACGATTATTATGGGGATAGTTCAAGTCTGAGCTTCTGTATTTCTGTCTCTTCGCACGTAAGATAGCGCGCCAGGAAATATGAGAAACGCCAGCAGCAGAAGAGAGCATGCGAAGGATTCGTTTCAAAATTAAAAGATCCTTTTTTATGCTCTTCTAGGAAGTGCAGTAGTTATAGCTTGGTTATATTTTCAATAATTTAGCAGCAAATTGAAATAAGGCTGATTGGTCTGTAGCAGACTGCTAAGACATTGCTGCCGCCTTTATAAATTGGCGTGATCCATGCAGATTTCCAATCGGTGGGCAAATAGCCTGCCTC